CCATTTCTGGTGTCATTCCCGAGAGTATATTAGTTTCATTGTTTTTAAAATGGTTGTGCTCAACAAGACACATGAACATGGATACAACTCAAACAAAGAATCTTACTGTGAAGAGAATGACAAAAGTTTCATAATTGGAAAACATTATATAGAACTCTTGCATGTGATGTCAAAGCAGCTCAATTTAAAGGACAAACAAAAGATTTTCGATCTCCTGAGAATTGGAAACCTATTGTTATGTCCTCCAAATTGAGCTGCATTCTGACGTACTGCAAGGGGTCTGTATGCCAAAGCTAAAACAGGTATATTTATAAAAATTCCTGCATTTTTGAAAGAACTTAACATGGAAAGAAGATTACACATTTCTTCCCACTCCCTATGCCATCTTATTCCAATCAACTTCTGCTCCAAAGTAAATGCACCTAAAARAAACTGTTACAAGCAATGTTAAATCTTAAACTGCCTCTAATTTGACATGTGCAATTCAAGTTGCATAAATTTAAGAGTATTTGAATTAATATATATTTCGTAATTTGTTTCTCAATTTAGGAAGACTTTGAGCCTAGTCCAAGGTATGTATACAAACAATTTCATTTACATCTTAATATATTATACCTTTTTCTTACTTCTCCTGGGCTGACGGCATGATGCCCAACAGGGTTGCAACCCAGTATTGATCAGGCAGCCGATAGATTTCATTAGAATTTACAGGTTTATTTTTGTGGAGGAAGAAAAAACTGGAAAACGTGGAGGAAAAACCTTTGAACTTAGTAAAGAACCAATAAACAACTCTACTCACATATAGTGCGACAGTGAGTCCGGCAGGGCTTGAACCAGGGTCGCATTGTTSAGAGGCAGGGCATTAATAGCCCATGCTACCCCTGCTTCCTTAAACATAATGTATTATTTAATAGCTAAATTTCCTTTKTAAAATAACTGCTCTAAATCTCGYGTTCTGATTGGTTGGGAGCGTGTGATTAATGAGAGCACACAGCACGCACGCCCACTTTCAGTTGCACTATTCATGTAATTTGTATTCTATAAAAAAAAAGTTAGCCATGTCCTGACTTACAGTAGATCAGCCTAGATGTAAAGTT